TGAGTCCTGGAGCATGCCACCGTTAGGAAGCAGAGCATGGGAGGAAGAGCCAGCTAAGGAAATGGAGCAGTCACCACTGAGGCTGGAGAAAGTCAGAACAGGTTGTTGCAATGTTTTAAGAAGGGGAGTAGATAACATGTCCGGTGCTATTGAGGGGCTCAAAGTTAAGATGAAGAGAGGTGACCATGGGTGCTGTCAACATGGAAGTTGTTGGTAACCTAACAAGAACTATCTCAGTGAGAACGTGGCTTGGGAAGCCTGACTAGAGTGGATTGAAGTCAATGAGGCATGAGGAAATAGAATGAGAAACGATAAATGATTGTTTCGAGAAGTCTTGCCATAAAGAAGAACACAGAAAGGGAGGGATCACTACAGAGGGAGGGTTTTTTCAAGATGGGAGCTATTTGGTCATATTTGGAAATGACCCAGCAGAGAAGGACAGATGTGATATAGAAAAAAGAGGGATCATCGCCAGGGCACAGACACTGACACAGTGAAAGAGAGTAAGTTCAGTGCACAAAAGGAAGAACGGGGTTTTGACAGGAACAGGGATGTTTTTCTTCAATGAAAGAGGAGGAAAGCAAAGCATTTACAGGTTGCCAGATTTGGTGATGAGATGGTTTTCATTTGCTTCTGTTTTCTCAATGAGAAATGAGCCCAGATCATAAACTGGGGGTGGAAGGAAAGGAATAGTGGTGGTTCAGGGAGATAAAATATGACAGTCACTCAAAGTGTGGGGAAGTTAACTTGTCAGGAGCATGTGGGAGGAGCGCAGGCAGTGTAGTGCACCCATGTGAGACCTGTGGACATGAATGTGTTACTAGTCATCACTGATCACATGTGATTTGCAAACACCTAGAAATGAATAATTCTTGTTAAACATAGTAGTACCCTCTAATTGGTCACTGAATAAAGAACACATAATGGAGTTTTAGATAAAACATTTGGGTGAGGAGGAGGAAGGGAAATAAAGAATGTGTATCTGTCTTCTTACAATCTACTCAAAGGAGACAAAACATAATTATTTGAGAACAAAGCCTTCTTTCTTTCTTTCTTTCTTTCCTTCCTTCCTTCCTTCCTTCCTTTCTTTCTTTCTTTCTTTCTTTTTTTGTTGGAGTCTCACTCCTCGACCTGCTCAGGCGATCCTTCCACCTCAGCCTTTCAAGTAGCTGAAACTACTGGTACACACCACCATGCCTGGCTAATTTTTGATTTATTGTAGAGATAAGGTCTCACCAAGTTGTTCAAGCTGATCTTGAACTTGTGGGCTCAGGCAATCCTCTCACCTCAGCCTCCCAAAGTACTGGGATTTAGGCATGAGCCACCACACCCGTCCTCAAAGCCATATTTCAACAAGCACAAACATTAAGCTTTCAACTTGAAGTTGTAAATTCTAAGAGATGCAGAATAATGGCCTACTTAAACTAGGATGAAGTGCTGGGTGTGGTGGCTCACTCCTGTAATCCCCACGTTTTGGAAATTTTGGAAAGAATCACTGAAGTTGTTTCAGATCAAATCTCAAAGGTTCCTAGGGACACGTGTTCACATAAAGCAAAGGTAAAAGAGGGGAACATGTTCGATGTTAATGAACGAGATTAGTACTATGTGCTGTGGCCTTAAATAAGCAGAAAAGGACTTTGAGCTTGAAGGCAGGGGTGAAAATAATCACTGCAGTTTAAGGAGTGAACTCTCCATACTAGGCACTAACAGATCACTTATCTGACAATGACTACTATTTATCTAGTGTTTGTATTGTGTCTGGGCACTGTGCTAGTTATTATATATATATAATTTCTAATATTTACAACCACCATACAAAATTACATATTATTAGTAGTAATTTTTTTTTGAGTTAGGGTCTCAGTTACCAGGGCTGGAGTGTAGTGAGCTCACCACAGTCTCAATCTCCTGGGCTCAGGTGATCCTTTTGCCTAAGCCTCCCAAGTAGCTGAGACTACAGGTGTGTACCATCACACCCAGCTAATTTTTTAATTTTTTGTAGAGACAAGGGCTTGCTATGTTGCCTATGCTGGTCTCAACTCCTGGCCTCAAGCAATCCTTCTGCCTCAGCCTACCAAAGTGCTGGGATTACAGGCATGAGACACCGTGCCTGGATTATTAGTAGTAACTATTAAAATTCCATTTTACAGATGAAGGAATTGAGAGCATTTCACTATTTTGCCCAAGATTCTATAGGTAGTAAGGGGCGGGGCTGGGTTGGGACTTGAAGCCAGGTCTGATTCCAAAGGCCGTAGTCAGTCTCCTGTGCGTCAGTTCACTTAACTGCACACTTCCTCCATCTCCCTAGCACTTAGTACAGAGGCCAGCCCAGGATAAATGTTCAGCAGCAAGATGACCCCCAAAATATCAATCTGATGACCTACCTTTGCACTTAATCCAAATTATTTCCTGACAACCCTCCCGACTCCCAGCTCACTAGTCTTCCACTTTCTTAAACAGGACAACCTCTTTCCTTCCCTCGGGCATTTGCCTGAGCTGTACTCATACATTTATTTTTATTTTTTTTAGTTGGAGTCTCACTCAGTCGCCCAGACTGGAGTGCAGTGGCCGCTCCCAGCCACCACAGCCTCGACCTGCTGGGCTCTGGCGATCCTTCCACCTCGGCCTTCCGAGTAGCCGGAATTACAGGCATGCGCTACCACGCCCGGCTGATTTTTTGATTTATTGTAGAGATGAGGTCTCGCCTGCCTGCCCAGGCGGGTCTTGAACCCGCGGGCTCAGGCAATCCACTCACCTCAGCCTCCCAAGGCGCGGGATTACAGGCTGAGCCACTGAGCCCTTTAAATGTACTCATACATTTAAAGGCTCTTCTCATTCTTTATATCCTTTAGATCTCAGCTTAATTGTCATTTGGTCAGAGAGGGCTTCCTTGGGCATTCTTTCTAAAATAGAATACAGGTGCAATGGCTTACACCTGTAATCCCAACACTTTAGGAAGTCAATGAGGGAGGATCACTTGAGGCCAGGAGTTCGGAACAAGGCTGGGCAACATAATGAGATCCTGTCTCTACAGAAATAAAAAAGTTAGCTGGGTGAGGTGGTATATCCTGTAGTCCTAGCTACTCGGAAGGCTGAGGTGGGAGCATCGTTTGAGCTCAGGAGCTTCAGGTTACAGTGAGTTATGATCACACCACTGCACTCCAGCCTGGAAGACAGAATAAGACCTTATCTCTAAAATAAGTAAATAAAAATAAAGTCGATCCCTGATATTTCCTGTTAGCCATTTGTTTCCTAAATTTATCAGATTTTACAATTACCTTGTCAGCTTACTTTCTGGTGTCTTTCCAATATTAAACCAATGAGATCAAAGACCTTGAGTCTTATTTATCTTTGCTTACACACAGCTGTACTGTTCAATTCAGGCGCCACTAGTCACATGAGACTACTCAGTAATGTACTGCAAATGTGGTGCCTCCTTATTGAGATGTACAGTTTAAGTGTAAAATTTACACAAGATTTGGTATGAGAAAATGTGTAAGATCTAACTATTATATTGACAACAAATGTTAAAGTGATAATATTTGGCTAAATTAGGTTAAATATATGACTGAAATTAGTTTCATCTGTGTTTTACCTTTTACATGTCACTGTTGGGCAACCCCCTTGGGTCCCCACCCACTGTGGGAGCTTTTCTGTCCTCTCAATAAAGCCTGCTTTAAAAAAAAAGTCAACCGGGCTCGGTGGCTCAGCCTGTAATCCTGCGCTTTGGGGAGCTGAGGTGAGTGGATTGCCTGAGCCCGCTGGTTCGAGACCCACCTGGGCAACTTGGCGAGACCGCATCTCTACAATAAATCAAAACGAGCCGGGCGTGGTAGCGCGCGCCTGTAGTTCCAGCTACTTGGAAGGCTGAGGCGGAAGGATCGCCGGAGCCCAGCAGGTTGAGGCTGCGGTGGCCGGGAGCAGCCACTGCACTCCAGTCTGGGGGACAGAGA